GAAGTTTTTCTGTCAAATAGTTGAAGCTTTTCCTTGTTGGGCAGTGCTGATTGAATCTTTCTCTATCCATGGTTGAATCATTTTTCAACAACTGTTGAAGCTGTTTTAGATCACAGTTGCAACACTTGTATATGCATGGGTGTGACCATGATAGCAGGCAGCCATGACATCTCCTTGCTGGTTCCAACATTCTCTCACCACCCTTTGCAGCCTCGTGGTCGTCTCGGTCACCGCCGTCAGGCGCACCCCGACCACCATAGTTGCAACATGTGGTCACCGTAATGGGGAGCACCCGTTGCAGCGGTTGCAGCACGCGGTGCACCCCGCTCCCCGCGCGCGGCCGCCGTCGACGTTGCCTTGGTTCACGTCCCCAGCCGGTTTGCAGCATCTAGGCTCGCTGCCCCATGCCGGTTCGCGTCCAACTCTAAGGAGTTAAGAGATGTCGGGAGCAGGGAGGTCGCTCCAGTGGTGGAGCTCCGCCGGGAAAGCCGCAGTGGACCGGCGGAGCGCGAAATGGGTCGTGGGATCACGGGAAGCAGATAAGGATGTGATGCGTTGCTTGAAGAAGAAAAGGGACGACCAAAAAAACTACGGAAATGTTAACGCCCACACGTGTGGGCGTTTGCATCTCGCCCACCCGCGTGGATTCGCGTCCGTTCGTGAGCGCACGAATCTTGGCATGTTTCTAGTGCCACGTAGGACTGGCCTGGTGTGTGGGCGTTCAGCCGGTCGCCCACACGGCCGTTTCACCACACAGGAGGGGCTGGTGTGTGGGCGTTCAGCAGTTCGCTCACACGCCACTTTGCACGCACACACAAGGGCTAGTGTATGGGCATTTGCCATCTCGCCCACACGCCCGTCTCCTCTCCCACACCCAAGCTGTTAGTTGCCATGTGTTTTGCAGTGCACATGGCGACTGCCCCTAGTGTGCTTTATAAGCAGGTGGCAACTCTCCTTTTTTACCCGAATTTGCCATGTGTTTTGTAGGGTACACGGCAACTGCCTAGTGTGCACGTAAGCAGATGGCAACTCTCTTTTATCGAGTTGTCATATGTTTTTGCATGGTACATGGCAACTGCCCTAACGTGCATGTACATGGACACTGCCCTAACGTGCACGTAAGCAGATGACAACTCTTCCTTTTTACATGGCAACTACCCTAGCATGCTTGTGAGCACATGACAACTCTCTCAACTGCCTAGTGTTAGTATGTGGCAACTCCTAAAGTTATGAAATCATGGCAACTACATTAGATCAAACCATACGTGGCAACTGCAGTTGAGCAACCATGGCAACTGCAGTTGTCCGACAGGCAACCATAGTTCAGCGACATGGCAACTACAGTTAAACGAACATGGACGAGGGTCTGGACCATGGCAACTACGGGCGCGCGGTGACCGTCACGCGTGGCGTGCGGGACCAGAAGGTACGAGGCCTGACATACGGGTGTGTGGGCGTTATCAACTTCGGCCACACGCACGCGTGTGAGAGGGATCAGAAGGAGAAAAAAAGGCGTGTGGGCGCTAGTCGTTTTGCCCACACGTAGGTGTGTGGGCTATTCCTCTTATACACCACACAAAATGTGTGGGCGGACTCCCTAACGCCCACGTGTGTGGCACTTATCGGCGTCCAAAAACTATTATGCTTTGGGCTTTGTCCAACGCAGGGGTGCTAGACGTACAATCGAAGCGAGCGCCAGGTGGAAATGTTTTCCCCAAAGTAAAGAAAAAACCTCAAAAGAAAAACCAAAGAAAAGAACCTAGTACGCACCACCATGGCAACGCTTTGGCGTGCACATCGTACGTCACGTACCCCTTCTAGACCGTACTTACCACTCGTGTACGTGTTGCTCCGTGCCGCAGCCCCACTGGACCACAGCCGAGCAACCACACCCGCAAACCGCCCCCAACACCTGGCCAAGAACCGGGGCCTCCTTGTCTCGCCTCGCCGCCGGCCGGCCGGCCGGCTGGCTGATTTGGAGAGAAGCGAGCCTCTTGCCCTATTCCTGCTCGGCCGCGGGTTGCTCGGCCGGCGAGCTCAAGCCCCAAGGTCAGTCAGTACGGGTACGTCAACTGCCTCTACCTCTCAGGCTCTCCCTAGCTGCTTTGCTTGAGCTTCGAAGAATTCGTTTTTCTTTTCCTCTCATCGCTGGCAGAGTTCAGATTCGGATTCTGAATTATAGCCATTTCTTTTGCTGGGGAGGAGAGAGACACCTACAAATTAGTGGGTTCCCCAGGCCGGAATCAGAATAACTGAATGAGTGTTCCTTGGTCAACCATATTTCGCCCGGCCAACCGGATCACAAAAGCACATCTTGCTAGTTGTTACTGCCTTCTTTTCTGTACCAATCTTGCCACACACACACTCTGCTCTACTAGATTATAATTCACCTTTTTCTTTGGGTTGTTCAAAGATGAACTTTCCCGACTTCTGCTCCAGCATGCAGTCCGCAGAGATGTTCCAACTAGACAGAGTACTTTGCTCAGTGCTGATGTAGCCAGGATACACAACTTAGAAAGTTAGAATGGCGTTCCATGAATCATAACTGAATTTCATCACCCTAGAATAGCAGGGTCTACTATGACCCGAGAATGACATAAGAGCAACTCCAATGGGGCGACCCATTTCGTCCGCCCGCGTCCGTTTGGGTCGGCGCGGACAAAAGTGGAGGCCCAACACGTCGACCCAAACTCAAATCGTGTCCGCCTGGCATCCACGCCGACCCATTTCTGGCCCAAAATTACGTCTGGAATGCGTCGGCGCGGACGCGAAGCAGACGCGCCGCGCGTCTCCTTGCCGTCCGCCGCGTCCCCACCTGGCGGCCGTCCAACTACGATGGTCAACATTAATTATGACGACCGTCCACCTTGGGCCCACGCGTCAGCGATGGTGATCGTCCTTTTTTAAGCCGGGCGTGCGGCGGGGCCGTCATCATCCACTGCCACTCGCCTTCGTCCCCATCTGGCCACCCCTGCCCCCACGCCGGCGACAACCCTAGCCACCGCCAGCATGGGCTTCTTCTCCGGCATCGGCAGCAGCGGCAAGGGCAAGGCCCCCGCCCACCATTCTCCCTCCCTCCCCGCCCTCCCCGCGCCGCCGCACGCTCCCCGGCAGAGGCATCGCATCAATGTGCTGGTGCACCAGGCCGAGTGACACTGGCAGCACCGCGTGCCTCTGCCGTACCCCGACACGACGCTGCCGCATGACTGGCATTTGGATCCGGAGAGGATCCCAGTGCCGGCGGCGCCGCGGACGGCGAGGGCCCATGAGGAGGAGGTGCGGCGCCGGCGGGCGTTGCTGACGCCGGAGCAGCGCGCCGAACCGCACTACGTCGTCGACTCGCCCAACTGGGCTCGATGGTTCGCCTTCGAGCATGAGGAGGCGAGGTGACGCGGCGTCCGCGGCGTCGACCGCAGCCTGCCGCCGCCCCCGCTCGTCGTTCGCGACGAGGACCAGGAGGCCGAGGCCGCCTACCAGGCGGCCATTAAGGAGAGCGAGGAGGAGGAGGAGCGGTGGAGGGAGGCAGATGAGGCGGCTTTCCAGGCTGCCATGGCGGAGGCCATGGCCCTCTCCGCAGCGGGCGACTGCGTCGTGCCGCCGGTGACCCTGACGTCCCCGCCCAAAGCCGAGCCGGAGGAGCCGGCCCCTCTCGAGCGCTACTCCTGGACCGGAGTAGTGCGCGAGTGGGTCAGCGCTCCGCCGATCTGGCTCGGGCGACGAAGAAGTAGGAGGCGACCTACCTCGACCACTGGCGCCGCGTTCGGCTGGCCGAGGAGCGCCGAGAGGGCGGGCGCTTGCAGATGCTCGAGCGCGAGACCGAAGAGGAGGCGCGCCAAGCCCAGGCAGCGGCGGCGCAGCCCGACATCGCCACCTTCTGGAACACGGCGTTCTCCTGGGTCGGCCCTGCGCCGACGCTGATCGACCTCACTGGCCCCGATGCAGACGCCGACGCCGACGCCGACGAGGACGCCTAAGGCAGCGCGTCGTCTAGTTTTTTGTTTTTTATGTTAATTAATGTAATGTGGACTTTCGCCGGCCTTCGTGACCGGCATTTACGTTTAATTACATGCATGTGTTTATTTTTAAAATGTTTTTAAACTTCTTTTTTTGACGCGCTGACAAAATGGGTCGGACCAGCGTTGGGCGCTCGTGTCGACCCAAACACAGCTCCGGACGTTTGTGTCCACCGGGCCGACCCAAATGAACAAAAGCGCCATCCGTTTGGGTCGGCCCGTTGGAGTTGCTCTAACCTTGGAATTGCGGTCTTCTTTGACTAGAGCCATTTCAGCGGTCATGCATATCAGGTCATTTGTCCATCTCAAGTATAAGCAAAATCTCAAGCCATTGATGCTCCGAGCGGTTGCGTAGTCACCATCATTATGTGCCTTGTCAATTGCTACTAGTAATCGTCTACATGCAATGTAGGTTAATTTTAATTGCATTGAAAAATAATATTTGGCAAGATCTTAAGTGCACGTTGATATTAGGTAGCATGTAATTATCGCTGATATTAGGTATGCTATCAATTAGGGGAGAGTGCTAAACATGTTTAGCGCTAAACATCGGAGCAACATAAACCGTTGGATAGATGCGGTTGAACCGGTGAGATGTGTTGGATCTCTGCAACTCGCTCTTTTTATATTAAGTATATAGAAGTATAGATATAAGATACATATATAGATATACTCCTATAAAAGGAGTAGATATAGATGCTTCAAAATTCAAACTTCACCTGTGTAAGGTCAGGAAAGTGTTTATATGCTACCTACCAACCTTTTGTACCAAACTTCCCACATGCCCTTTGCTTGCGCCAAAAAAAAAATGATATTACATGTTAGGCATCTAACGTATGTTAACATAACATTCATCATTTTCTTCTAGCTAACCTCACATTTTTCTGCTACCTAACTTCACCTTCCCTTCTTGTATGAACCAGCTACGTGCCATCACCACGTATATGTCATTTGAAGAAATCTGTGCTTCAAGTTCAGTAGAGGAGAATGAGGCTGGTGTGTGTAAATGGCCTGAGATTCAGGCACCTCAGGCTTGCGTTCCTCGCCATCTTTGCGGTGTTTCTTCTTTGGAAATGGGACAAGGGATCACTGTACAGTCCTGGTATCCTCCGACCGGAGCCATTGGTCTTGAGTGAGTTATCCAGGCCCTCTCAAATTATAAGCCCAGGAACTAATATTCTTTCAAGGTCCTCTCCGTGGGTCATCTTGGGGCTTGTTTTCCCAGTAAATTTCTGTTGCTCACTCACAGTTTGTAGATCGGAATACCTCCATGGAGGAAGACCCCCCCATCATCGATCCATTGGTGCAGTCGGTCACTGAAGTAGGAAAGGAAGGCATTTCTGCACCTCCACCTCTGTCCATAGTTCATAACTCTGAAGATGTCGCTGATAACGCGGGAACAGCACCTCCTCAGAAGAAAGGTAATTCACTATCTCACACCCTTTGCTAGCTTGTGCTATTGCCTTTTGAGATGTACTCCCTCTATAAAGAAATATAAGAGCGTTTAGATCACTACTTTAGTGATCTAAATGCTCTTATATTTCTTTATGGAAGGAGTATTATGTTAAGCTTAGTTTTCTCCTAAATTTTGCTTCATCGATATTTTAGAATGTGACTACAGGAATGGAGAATGGGTTCCTGATAACCACAGGCCACTGTATTCTGGCCCCAGATGTAAAAGATGGCTCTCTGAGAGCTGGAACTGCAGATTGACACAACGCACAGATTTCGCTTACGAGAAATTTAGATGGCAGCCTGAAGGCTGCGATATGCCAGCGTTTCAAGCTGCCCAATTCTTGACAAGGTAAATGTTGCTGCTCCTTCAGTTTGAATTTGCAGGTGGTTGAACCAGGGGTCCTACCGGATCTGCTCCGGAGGTTGTAGGAGAAGGATGGAGTGGGACGGGGCGATGATCGGGCGCGCCGGCGGCTGGGCGCCGTCGCGTCAGAGGGAGATGGCGGCGGCTAGGGTTAGAGGCGGCTAGGGTTCCGGTTCCTCTGGGAGCCGGGCAATAGGGATAATAATATTCTTATTGCTTAATTCCAAAAAGAGTCCTACAGCCTATATTTATAATCTAGATAACTTGCATAAGAATTAACCTAAAATAACTTGCATAAGAATTAACCTAAGATAACTTGTGGGCTAAGATTGCCCGGTGGGCCTAGCTAAACCGGCCATAACACTTCTCCCCGCCTGCACAAACAGCTCGTCCTCGAGCTGTAAGGTGGGGAAGTGCTTGCGGAACTCCTTGAGGCGATCAACCAGCGTCAAACACCTTCTCGACAGCTGGGGCGGCTAGGTCGGCGGCGACGGCGTCCTCCGGATTGTAGTCTGCAACCTCCAGGTAAAAGAGTCGCGGGCAGGCATGGCCAGGCGTGTAGGGCTCGTCGCAGTTGAAGCACAACCCTTGACGGCGACGCTCGAGTAGCTCGGCTGAGGTGAGCCGGTGAAACTGGCGCGCTGCGGTCGCGGCGAGGGGTGCCGCAGAAGCCTGCGCAGGCCGACCCTGCGCGGAATCCGGCCAGGGTAGCGACCCAGCGGTCGGGGACGGTGATTCCTGCTGGATGGCCACCGCGCGGCGCTCAAACGCGCGGGCGTAGTACATGGCCGAGTGGAGATCCTGGGGTCCCTGAAGCTCCACGTCCACGCGGATGTGATCCGGAAGTCCACCGACAAAGAGGTCGACCCGCTGTTGCGCTGTCATGCCCGACTCATGGCATGCCAGGGCCTGGAAACGGTCGACGAAGTCCTGCACCGTGGAGGTGAAGGGAAGGCGGCCGAGCTCCGCCAGGCGGCTCCCGCGAACCGGAGGCCCAAAGCGAAGGAGGCAGAGCTCGCGGAAGCGCTCCCAAGGGGGCATGCTGCCCTCGTCCTGCTCGAGGGCGTAGTACCAGGTCTGGGCTGCACCACGGAGGTGGTAGGATACCAGCCAAGTGCGCTCCGACGCGAGCGTGCGCTGGCCACGGAAAAACTGCTCACACTGGTTGAGCCAGTTAAGCGGGTCCTTCATGCCGTCATAAGTGGCGAAATCGATCTTGGCGGACCGTGGCGGCGTCTGGGTCGACGCGCCATGGCCGACCGGCTCGGCGGTGCGGAGCAGTGATGATGACGGCGCCTGGTCAACAGTAGGAAGGCCGTCGTAGGCCCTTGCGGAGCCGGACGAGGCCCCAGACTGCAGCGTGGGTACCGGTGGGTCCCCGACCTCTGTGTAAACTGGCGGTGGCGACGTCCCGGTTAGCCAGGCCGGGATCGGGGACGGTGACGGCGGAAACCGGACCTGCTGGATCGGAAATCCTCCTGGTGTGGACTGGCCCAGTCCGGAGCTGGGCGGCGGCGGTGGGAGCTGGACCGGCGCGGTTGGCGCGGCTGGGGCCGACGCGGGCCAGTGCGGCCATTGCGGCGCTGGGGCGGGTGCGGGAGGC